GCTGCTTGTATTTAATTTGGCTGTGGACTGAAGAACACTCTCGAAACCCACTCTTTTACAGTAACACTATTTCTTTTTCTGCAGGAGCCAGCATTACAAAGCAGTTGGAGGAGGGCATAAAAGAGGCCATATGTGCAGGCAATCACAGAGGATAAGGGGGAACACCTGTTTTTCCATCAATTACAGCCCGGGAGCTCGCGGGGCATATTTATTCTGGGGGCATTACATTTGCTTGGGTAATAGCGCATGACACATTTCCAGTTTTACAGCAGACAAGCCCTGAGAAGGAGCTAATCACGTCTGTACAAATGAAACACAAACATGCCCTCCCGGCCATACACGGAGTTAAACAGGGGCCCTAATGACACCAGGAGCCACCCGGGGCCAGCAAGAGCGGCTGGGGAACAACCACAGGTTTGTGGCCACCTGGATGGCTCTGTTTGCCCTCTGGCTGAAGCCAAGCCAAGCAAAAAACCCTGGGAAAACTCATAGGTGGGACTGTAGGGAAGGTGGATGCCCACAGGGAAATGGTAAAAATCTCTCTACTTGGTAAGGACAAAGTCCAACTCAAATATTTTACTGATGGTGATAGAAAGAAATATTATTGGCGTTTATATTTTGGGTTTATTTTTTTTGTAATCCTGATAGAAGAAGTGAACGAAGAAAGGAAATATTTTAAAGAAACATTTTATCACCTGTATCTGCAAATCTGACATTATAAATTTCTTCATACTTGTGTTACACTTTTAATAATATTTATTTTATGGTAATGATTTTATTGTCCTCACTTGCAAGCTCTTCAGTAAATCCTTATAGAAGGATGAATAAATTTATAAAGCTGTTGTTGATTTATTTTAATAACAGCATAATTAATATTTTGCCTTGTTGAAAACATTTCTGAGAATTCAAAATTACTGTTTTAGTTACATGTTTATTTTAAAGGGGTTGGTTTTGTATGAGTATTTTTAGAAGACTAAGTACATTGATTAATTATTTTAAATGGCTCTTATGCTGTGTTCTTCCTCCTCATGTTCCATTTCAAGTAGGATGAAACAGAAAAGACCGGAAAGAACAAAGAGCATGAATACATGAGAGAAGAGAAAAAACACATGGAAAAACAGATTAAACCCCATTCAGATCTGTATAAAAAAAGTACATTTAAAAATGTGTCATCCCTTTCTCTTTTTTTTTTTTTTTAAGCAATGAGGGGATAAAAAAATACAATAAATTATGATTTTAGGTTAAAATTTCAGGAAAGCTTTCTTCTTGAGGAAAGGGTAGTCTCACTGCAGAAAACTGGGAGAAACTAAATTGCCAGTGCTTATTACCAAAGCCAATACTGAATCTATAATGTACACAGATAAGAGAAAAGAATCACAGAACAGGATGACCAATGTTGAAAAGACCCTTAAGTCCAGCCCAGCACTGCCAAGCCCACCACTCAGCTACGTCCCTAAACTTGCTTAAAATCAGTCTCATCTCTTCATAGAGCATAAAATTCCTCTCCCCATAATTTCACTGCTTAAAGGCTTGTATAATGCCAATGTGGAATGAGTCTAACCATCCTGATACTGAAAATAAAACATCCCCATGTTGGTTTGGCCAATACAGCATCAGGCTGAAGATAATCCTGGCCTGTGCCTGGGTATTGCTGCTCCCTGGGGCAGTATCTCAAATGTCTGTGCTACACAGCCTGCCCTGCTGGGTGACACTTGGCCACACATCATGCTTTTGGGTGCTTTTTTATACTTTTGGTGGTTTCCAAGTGCTGCCTGCTTACCTTTATCTAATAACTCAAGTGCTGTTGTAGTGCCAAACTACAACAGCACTTGAGTGTTATTTTATTCAAATTATTACAATTTAGCTTCAAAGGAGCAAGAGTTTGGGCTACTGAGTACCAGTGACAGTTGGAAAAGATCTTTTTAAATATCCTTTGAGTTCAGGTTCAGCTGTGACAAAGGAATGGTATTTCAAAGTAAATCACTCAGCCCTGTCCAAAGCTGATAAACACAAAAAAACAGCCCTTCTGTTTTTATGCCATGTCTGTGGTTGGAAGCATTTTTTACCAATGCTGTAGCAGCTAAAGCAAACACAATTTTTTAAGGGTAGGGTATGCATTTTAGAAAATGCTTCAAGGGTGCAGCAGCAGAGGTTTTCCACAGCGCATGGTCTTGCACTCCTCCATCTATCTCTGTCCCATAGAAGCTCCATCCAGGACCTCCAGGTTCCCTGGGTCTCCACTGTCTCCTCATCAGAGAATTTTCCTGAACCCAGAAAGGAATGCCAAGTATTTTCCTCTTATATCATGTACACACTCATCCCGTTAAAGATGCCTGGATCTTGCTGTTCTGAGCCCTGCATCTGTTATACTGCTGAATTATTTCCCATGGGGATTTCCTGGAGGAGTTTTCAAAAATCCTCTGCACCACAGGAAATATAAGCCCAAAGTCACAAAAAATCCCGTGGTGTCACCCTAAATAAAAAGTGTATTAAGTGCTAATGGTACAAAGTTATTAAATGCCTTCATATTTGTGGTGGGATGACCAGGTCTGCCTGCCAGGCCTCCACCCTGCTGCTCTCTCCCTAATCCCAAAGGGTGGTGGGAAAGAAAAAAGCAACAGCAGCAGCTCATGGGTTGAGATGAGGACAGGGAGATCACTATTTGCTAATTGCTGTCGCAGGCTAAACAGATACGACTTGGGAGAAATTAATTTCATTTAACTAATTCAATTTAATTGACAATAATTTATTACTGCTTGAAAATAAGGGTAGAATGGTGAGAAGCAAAGATAAGAAGGCAAACCTCTTCTTCCCACTTCATGGGCTGAAATACATGATACTGTGATTAAGTGTCCTGTGTCACAGCAAATGGAGCTGCCCTGGCCCTGCTGATCTCAGGGAGATTTCTAAAATTAAGAGGTCTTCTGAGAAGCCTCCTCACCACTCTGTTGGGACTTGGCTGTGTCTTTCCCAGCACCCAGTGCCATTAGATGGGCATGGTTGAGGCAGAGACCCACACCATCAACAAGTACAAAAGAAAGGACCCCTTCTGAGCAGTTGTCTTTCCCTGTAATTTTTGCTTGTGGCCTTTCAGTGTAGAGGTGGCTTCACCATCTCACTTTTTTGTGTTCTCCTGGGCAGTAGGAAGAACAGGAGGATGGCATCTGGATCTGCTTTTTCCCTCCAGTTAGGAATAGGAAGGACGTGGTCAGAGTTTTAAGATAAAGACAAGCAATTGGGAGGGTTAGTGAACCAAACTTGGACTGGAAACACCCAGAAGAGTGGAATAATTGTGGGGAATAGTTTACTGTTGTAATGTTGTGAGGGTCCAATCACTGGAGCTTTATTGTGTTTGTAAATTGGCCACTTTTGTTGGTGTTGTGACGGCATAAGTTTGGTTTTGGTGTAAGGAATATTTTGGTGTGGGCAGAGGTGCCTGTGCAGGGGTTCATTCTCAGCCAGGAGCTGTGGCTCATGGAGAGGACCCACACTGGCATGGGCTTGTCTGAGGGCCTGCAGCCCAGGGAAAGGGCTGTGCTGGGGCGGGAAGGAAGCGTGAGGAGAAAAGAGTGTCAGAGGGAATGCTTTGAGCTGATGACAGTCCCCTTTCCTCACTGCCTCCCATTGCTTGAGTGGGAGGAGTTAGAGTCAGAAATTGAGAGCTGAAGGGCTGAAGGGGAAGGCTTTTTTAGGTTGCATCTGGCTGGGATGGAGGTCACTTTCCTCACAGCAGCCTCTGTGATGCATTGCTGTGAGCGGTGGTGCTCACCCCACGCTGAGGTTTCCTCTCTCTTTCCTCCACCCTGTCCCAAAGCAAGCAGTCTGGGAGTGGGATGGAAGTTAGGGGGGGACATGGAGATATTCAAGCCAACCTTGGAGCTGTCCCATGCCATATGATGTCAGGCTCAGCAAAAAACTCAAGGGAAGGGAGGAGGAAGATGGGATGTTAGTGATTATGGCATTTGTCTTTGCAAGGCTCTGCTTCTCAGGAAGCAGCTGGACGTCTGCCTGACAGTGGGATGTACTGAATGAATCCTTTATTTTGCTTTGCTTACATGGGCAGCTTTTGTGCTGCTTAATAAACTCCATTATCTCAACCCATGACTCTCTTTGCCTCCCTTTGAATTTTTTCCTCCCCATCCCCTGGCACAAGGTAATGAGTGAAAGGCTGGGTGGGGTCAGCCCACTACAGTGTGTCATCAACATCTATAAATTATCACAAAGGTAAAGTGCCTGTTGAGAGATAGGATTTATAACATTTGCAATGAAAGGCAGGGGAGCCAAGAAGAGACACAAGTCTCTTTCTCTACCTGTACTGTCTCAGCACCCTGTGCTGCCACATGAAAGGGCTGAAATCCCCCACAAGCAAAGCAGAGCCAGGAGATCAAGAAGCAGTGAAGAGTGCTGGTGGGGTACAAAAGGAGGTGCTGCATGCATAAAAAGGCAAGAAAACTACCCCTAGACACACGTATTGGCATTTCTGAGTTTACTGTGTAACCTGAACCCATCTCTTTGGGTTTGGCTTTTTTTTTAATATTACATTCCACACAATGTCTGCCAGTTATCTGAAGAAATATTTCCTTTGTCATCTACAGAAATAGCAGCTTCACGTGACAATGGATGTTTTAATCTCATCCTGTATTTAAGGAAAGCTGCAAAAGAAGAAGAAGAGTGTATGTCAAAGACAAATCACCTTTCTTATGCCAAACAATCACAGAAATTTATTCCTCCTGCATAGAAAAGACATGTTGGGATTTCCCTGCAGCCACTGTTAACTCCAGGGAAGAGTAGTCTGCCATCTTTTCCTCTAGGAAAAGACAATTCAGGCACAGCACAGAGCCACAGGACTGGGGAGGACCTTGCAGGACAAACAAAGCCGACCATGTAAGCAAAGAAAATTTGGCTCCCAACAAGCTAAAATTAATTCCAGTGACAGCTGAAAACATTAAGCATCTTCCAAGACGATGGTGTCTCGCCACAGGCAAAAATGTCCTTTCTGGGGAATACAGTCACTCGAGTATCATCAGAAAAAAGATGTAAAAGGTTAGTGAAATCAAATCACATGCATTTAAACTTCACAAAAATGTTTCAGTAGTCCTGCAAAAGCTACCAGATTGGGTGCAGAACAAAAGGTATCCTACTGTAATATTGCTGGAGACCTGAATGGAAGGACATAAATAGAAATACTTGGGGTTTCTTGGAATTTTACAGAACGTTTAACAAATCCTTTTCTCTCTGAAATGAGGTATTATGGACAGCCTGTTTTATCTAAGCTACTTTCCATCAACCATTTTCTTTGTCTTCAGTTGCCCCTGATACATTTGAACAGATATCACATAAAGATGTATTTAAGCACATTAAAATCAAAGCCTTTGTTTAGGTGCAAGAAAGCACTCCAGTTAGTTCCCCACAGATCAGCTACTTCAGGTTTGTGTTTTATTGCTCAAATCTACCAAGGTGAAACAGTTCCATCTAAGATTAATACCAGCAATATTTCCAGAAAAGGTTATCCTGAATCATATTGTTGGATGTTTTTGTGTTTTATATAACCCACATGAGATCCTGTTGCTAAGCAGAAAGCAAAATCAATATAGAAGGCAAGCCATACCAGCTCCTCTTCGAATTGCTGTAGACATTTCACATTCTTGCAATTGCTTCTCTTTTAATGGTTTTTTCCCATAAAAATCTGGATTGACTTTGTGACTAGTATTTTATAGTTCACCATATCCTAGAATATATCACATAAAACATTGTGCTATTTGGCTTAAATGTACCACTTTGATGAAGCTGCTAAGACAGCCATCATTATTAAATGACCTTCTCTAACTAAGGAGTGAAATGGGATAAATTTTAATTAGAGACTACTTCAGCTACTCTTCCAATATCTGTATGTGTCTTTCTCCTCCAGCGAAATCATAGCAACTTTTGCTGAAAATATATATTGCAAAAAAATTCCTTATTTTCAATCACAAGAACCACTTAAAAGTTTCTTCTCCACATCAAGTAAATAAAAAGTTTATTTTTCTAACAGGATACAATCACTGAACAATCAGCCTCCTGTGTCATAACTGCCAGAAAAGGTCATGCAGGTGAGTGGAACTCTTCCTTTTAACTCATCCTTTCTCCTTCTCATGAGTCTGGCAGAAGTGTCCTGTTCAGGCCAGCACATCTGATGTATGTTATAGTCCCAGTAATTTTCCCATGTTTCCTTTACAGTCATAGAATCATTTGGATTGGAAAACCCTCTAAGATCATCAGGTTCAACCTCAACCCAGCACTGCAAAACCCACCACAGAACCATTTCCCTTAGCTCCACATCTACATGTCTTTTAAATCCTCCCAGGAATGGTGACCCCATCACTGCCCTGGGAAGCCTGTTCCAACACTTGACAACCCCTTTTGTGCCAAAGAAATTTCTCCCAGTTCCAAATTAAACCCTCTCTAGCACAATCTGAGGCCACTTCCTTTTTTCCTATTGCTTCCTAATATTTATTCTCCATGGTGTCTGGACTAAGATTAATGTCCACTCTATAGGATTGGCTTTTGATATGACAGTATTGCTGGTTGTGAAACTCACCTTGTCTATGTGTTCAGTACTTCAATCACCTTCATACTTCAGCACAGCCCACTCCAGTGTCCAGCATGGGCAACAGCATGACCAGAATGGTCAGTGACACCCCAACACCTGGACTGGTGCCTGAGTGGCCACAGGTCCCATCCACAACATGGAGGAGACTGGACAGAGAAATGTTGCTGACTGCCTGGAGTGTGTGTCCAGACTCTGGGCTACAAGAACACTCATGCTATCACACTGCACATGCACTTCAATGTGGTGTGAAGCTTTGGACAAACCCAATCAAACAGCCTCAGTTCACCCTCTCCCTTCAGACAGTAGGATTGACAACCATGCTGCTAAATCTCTTTTCTGTTGCAAAAACCAGCTGGTTTGTTTCTTTAAGCTGGAAATTCCTCTCAGCACTTCTGGAAAAAAAAGAATCCAAACCCAACAACCAAACCAAAAATATTCCATCCTGAATACCCAGAACAGAAATAAATGTCTCGTGACTGAGCAGATATAGCACAGCTTTTGCTAGATTAAAAGGATGATTAATTCATACACTTTATACTTATAAGTTATTTTGAAAAGAGTGTGAGCAATATATGCCTGGAAATTCCCAATTAGATTCAAGAGCATGTTGGAGTGAGCAAGCCCACGCCCACAGGAGCAGATGTTTGTTTGCACTGTCAGAGTGTCATGCACCTACACAACTGATTTCAGAGATGAGAGGGGTGGTTAAATGGCTCTGCAGTATTCAAAGTGACCGTGGCATTCATTTGAACATTGCACTTCTCAGAATAAACAGTTCTTGAAGAAAATTTCAGAACAAAATGCCAATGAGAGAGAGAGAGAGAGAGAGAGAGAGAGAGAGAGAGAGAGAGAGAAGAAAATTCTAACCCTGTTTCCTGAGTGGAAGCTTGTGTGCCGATATTTTTCTCGGAGCTAAAAAAAAATAAGGTAATGAGGGAGTGTAGGGGAAAATGGAGGAAAAAAATGTGTTGAATGTAGTGTCAGCCACTTGATAGTTTTCTAGTTTTCTAATGACTTCTGTGGGCTTTAGTAGGTTGTACATAGTCTCTAATGCAATTCCCTGGCCTTACTGGCATCTTGGCATCCAGCTCTTCTGGATTTTGGGGCGCTTATGTGTCTGCTTCTCTGTCCATGTGCTACTTGTTTTCCTGCCTTGCCTTGCCTTGCCTTCCCTCCTTCAACTGATGAAATTTAAGAGGTGTTGTGTTATCTTGGTGTTTTTTCAGGTTGCTTCCTTAGGCAAAAAGCCATCCTTAGTTGCCAGAGCAATGGATGTTTGCAGCAGGCAGCCTGGTATCTCATTTATCTGTCCCGTGCCCATCAGGTGCTCGTGTGCCACACCATGGTGTCCATCTCTCTGGGTGCCTCTCTGGCTGCAGATCCAGGACAGTGATGGTCCATGGAAAGGTGGGAGAGGCTGTCAGTCCTCCTTTCTACCTCTTCTTTTGGCTTCTGCAAACAATGGAAGAGGACTAAGCACAAAACACAGAGCTGCAAGGCAGAATTTTCTCACTGGTGCAAGGTAACAAAACTCCTAAATCTATTCATGCATGAGGTTTCACCAGCATTTCTGCTTTTGGTTTGGAGAGAAAGCCAGAAATCACAGAAACATCTGATTCAACTGAATAAACAATGGTATATGTTCTAGTTTTACAAATGCTAAGAATATCTTAAGGAGAAATCCTGATGTTTTTTAATACCTACTCTGACAGCATCCCATAATTCCTTTCGGGAGAATGGCAAGTTAAGAGATAAAACACTAAGACAGCACGATCAGCTTAACTCTTTACAAGGAACAGAATTGTTATTTCTCTTTTATTCAGAGAGAAACTGGAGGAACAGATGCCATGACTTTTCAGGGACCATGCAGCCAGACAAATAAAATCTCAGCACTCAGGGGACAAGCCAGTGCTTTATCCAGAAACTGAGTTAACTTAAAAAATCCATTTCATTCTTCATATCCATTGGAAGCCAATTTTGAAGCACTGAAAGGGCTTAGCTCCTAATTTTTCCACTGGAGCAAGCTGGTTTTGCCCCCCTGAGGGGAGAAGAAGGTGGATGTTTACTGACAAGCAACAATCACCACTGTGCTTAGCTTTGAAATCCAAGGCTCTACTCAGCACTTTGGTGATACCATCAAGAGTTAACAGAC